GGGTTCTGTTGTAGAGATCTGTTGTAGGGTTCTGTTGTAGAGATCTGTTGTAGGGTTCTGTTGTAGGGTTCTGTTGTAGGGTTCTGTTGTAGGGTTCTGCTGTAGGGTTCTGTTGTAGGGTTCTACTGTAGGGTTCTGCTGTAGAGTTCTGTTGTAAGGTTCTGTTGTAGGGTTCGGTTGTAGGGTTCTGTTGTAGGGTTCTGTTGTAGGGTTCTGTTGTAGGGTTCTGTTGTAGGGTTCTGTTGTAGGATTCTGCTGTAGGGTTCTACTGTAGGGTTCTGTTGTAGGGTTCTGTTGTAGGGTTCTGCTGTAGGGTTCTGTTGTAGAGTTATGCTGTAGGGTTCTGTTGTAGGGTTCTGTTGTAGGGTTCTGTTTTAGGGTTCTGTTGTAGAGTTCTGTTGTAGGGTTCTGTTGTAGGTTTCTGCTGTAGGGTTCTGCTGTAGGGTTCTGTTGTAGGGTTCTGTTGTAGAGTTCTGTTGTAGGGTTCTGTTGTAGGGTTCTGTTGTAGGGTTCTGTTGTAGGGTTCTGCTGTAGGGTTCTGTTGTAGGGTTTTGCTGTAGGGTTCTGTTGTAGGGTTCTGTTGTAGGGTTCTGTTGTAGGGTTCTGTTGTAGGGTTCTGTTGTAGGGTTCTGCTGTAGGGTCCTGTTGTAGACTTCTGCTGTAGGGTTCTGTTGTAGGGTTCTGCTGTAGGGTTCTGTTGTAGGGTTCTGATGTAGGGTTCTGTTGTAGGGTTCTGCTGTAGGGTTCTGTTGTAGGGTTCTGCTGTAGGGTTCTGTTGTAGGGTTCTGCTGTAGGGTTCTGTTGTAGGGTTCTGTTGTAGGGTTCTGTTGTAGGGTTCTGTTGTAGGGTTCTGTTGTAGGGTTCTGCTGTAGGGTTCTGCTGTAAGGTTCTGTTGTAGGGTTCTGTTGTAGAGATCTGTTGTAGGGTTCTGTTGTAGAGATCTGTTGTAGGGTTCTGTTGTAGGGTTCTGTTGTAGGGTTCTGTTGTAGGGTTCTGCTGTAGGGTTCTGTTGTAGGGTTCTACTGTAGGGTTCTGCTGTAGAGTTCTGTTGTAAGGTTCTGTTGTAGGGTTCGGTTGTAGGGTTCTGTTGTAGGGTTCTGTTGTAGGGTTCTGTTGTAGGGTTCTGTTGTAGGGTTCTGTTGTAGGATTCTGCTGTAGGGTTCTACTGTAGGGTTCTGTTGTAGGGTTCTGTTGTAGGGTTCTGCTGTAGGGTTCTGTTGTAGAGTTATGCTGTAGGGTTCTGTTGTAGGGTTCTGTTGTAGGGTTCTGTTTTAGGGTTCTGTTGTAGAGTTCTGTTGTAGGGTTCTGTTGTAGGTTTCTGCTGTAGGGTTCTGCTGTAGGGTTCTGTTGTAGGGTTCTGTTGTAGAGTTCTGTTGTAGGGTTCTGTTGTAGGGTTCTGTTGTAGGGTTCTGTTGTAGGGTTCTGCTGTAGGGTTCTGTTGTAGGGTTCTGCTGTAGGGTTCTGTTGTAGGGTTCTGTTGTAGGGTTCTGTTGTAGGGTTCTGTTGTAGGGTTCTGTTGTAGGGTTCTGCTGTAGGGTCCTGTTGTAGACTTCTGCTGTAGGGTTCTGTTGTAGGGTTCTGCTGTAGGGTTCTGTTGTAGGGTTCTGATGTAGGGTTCTGTTGTAGGGTTCTGCTGTAGGGTTCTGTTGTAGGGTTCTGCTGTAGGGTTCTGTTGTTGCGTTCTGTTGAGGGTTCTGTTGTAGGGTTCTGTTGTAGGGTTCTACTGTAGGGTCCTGTTGTAGACTTCTGCTGTAGGGTTCTGTTGTAGGGTTCTGCTGTAGGGTTCTGTTGTAGGGTTCTGATGTAGGGTTCTGTTGTAGGGTTCTGTTGTAGGGTTCTGCTGTAGGGTCCTGTTGTAGACTTCTGCTGTAGGGTTCTGTTGTAGGGTTCTGCTGTAGGGTTCTGTTGTAGGGTTCTGATGTAGGGTTCTGTTGTAGGGTTCTGCTGTAGGGTTCTGTTGTAGGGTTCTGCTGTAGGGTTCTGTTGTTGCGTTCTGTTGAGGGTTCTGTTGTAGGGTTCTGTTGTAGAGTTCTGCTGTAGGGTTCTGTTGTAGAGTTCTGTTGTAGAGTTCTGTTGTAGAGTTATGTTGTAGGGTTCTGTTGTAGAGTTCTGTTGAGGGTTCTGTTGTAGGGTTCTGTTGTAGGGTTCTGTTGCAGAGTTCTGTTGTAGGGTTCTGTTGTAGGGTTCTGCTGTAGGGTTCTGCTGTAGGGTTCTGTTGTAGGGTTCTGTTGTAGGGTTCTGCTGTAGGGTTCTGCTATAGGGTTCTGTTGTGGGGTTCTGCTGTAGAGTTCTGCTGTAAGGTTCTGTTGTAGGGTTCTGTTGTAGGGTTCTGTTGTAGAGTTCTGCTGTAGGGTTCTGCTGTAGGGTTCTGTTGTAGGGTTCTGTTGTAGGGTTCTGCTGTAGGGTTCTGCTATAGGGTTCTGTTGTGGGGTTCTGCTGTAGAGTTCTGCTGTAGGGTTCTGTTGTAGAGTTCTGTTGTAGGGTTCTGTTGTAGGGTTCTGCTGTAGGGTTCTGCTGTAGGGTTCTGTTGTAGGGTTCTGTTGTAGAGTTCTGTTGTAGGGTTCTGTTGTAGGGTTCTGTTGTAGGGTTCTGTTGTAGAGTTCTGTTGTAGGGTTCTGTTGTAGGGTTCTGCTATAGGGTTCTGCTGTAGGGTTAGCGCACTGCACTACGAACCCGGCCGGACACGAGTTCGATTCCTGGTCGTGGATTCCATCGGCAGTGGTGGTCTCACTTGACCCAACAGCACCGCGAGGCTACACGGGGGAGCTTTGCCTTGTGTGTGTGTGGGTGAGAGGCGACCGCCTTTGTCTCTCCAGTGCCGATGGCTTCGTTTCTCGCTCACTGCCCAACAGTTGTAGTGGTGGTCATGGGCCTCCTCTAGGTCGACTTAGCCTCAAATGAGTATCCAGAGCGGTGTGCAAAAAACCATCAGCACTGGGGAGACAAAGGCGGCCGCCGGACGTGGACATGCGATCACAGCCCGGCTGCTCGCTACCAAGCACTTGTCCCGTAAATCTGTGGAGGCTACAAGGGGGATCTTTGTCTCTTTCGCGGTAGGAAGGGGGCGACGGAGTGTGTGGAGGTGGGGGTCTGTAACTTAACTCCAGAAGTCACCCCGTACACCAACCTCCCCCCCCACCACCACCCTCCCACACCACCATCACCCCACCCACCACCCCCACCACCCCCCACCCACCTCCCCCCACCTCCCCCCACCCACCACCACCACATCCTCACCCCCCCCACACCACATCCTCACCCCCCACCCCACCACCATCACCCCACCCACCACCAGCAACAGAGCCACCACCACCGCCTCTCTCCACCCCCCCACGCTGCGAGCGTCAACGATGGGCGGAGTGGCGGGGCCCATTCCCAAAGTTCTTGACGTCAGTTCCTGCGCGAAGACGCCGCCAGGCTCTGTCCGCTGCTCGCTCGGTCTCGCTGCACCGCTCCTCGTGTGGAGTGGCAGAGGCAGAGGAGCGGGCGAGGGAGGAGGAGGAGCGGCAGGGTTGTTCCCCCGTGCCCGTCCTCTCATCACTTTGTGATAATTATAATTATATATTTAATAATAATAATAAAAAATAAAATTAAATGTGTTGTCCCGACGAGGAAAGCTTCTCGCTCCCTCCCGAGGGTCGTGGAACTTTTTTGCTCGAGCGGCGCGGCTGAAGAGCAGCAGCCAAGCCACGCGAGACGGGGCGGGTCGACCGGCACGTGTGGGAATCCAGCAGTGGAGCGAGCCTGGATTGTGTTGCGCTGCGGGGTTCCTGCCCCCCCCCTCTCCACCAAACTCCCTCCTGCTCCACCCCCCCCCCCCCACAGTCATTCCCTTCCTTCCCCTGTCTCTCTCTCTGTGGCTCTCACCGCTGCGCTCGCTTGGCGCTCACACAGCACCGAGAATCGAGAGAGAGAGATAGAGAGAGAGAGAGCGGGCGAGAGAATGGAGCCGCGGTTCGTTCGTCTTCACGCCTAAGAGGAATTTACCGGCGAGCTGCGAGAGAGAGAGCGAGAGACGTTTTTTTTATTCTAAAGCTGCGATACGACGTCCAGGCGCCGAGGCTGACGGAGCGAGCACGGACGGAGTCTTCTCGTGACACCCAGCGGACGACGTTCCGGTCTTCACCCGATCAGCCGCCGCCGAGACTTTGGACGCTTCCTCCTAACGTGGTCTCGACGTGCACCTAGCCTGGCACCGCGGTGCCGTCATCTTGGCGGCTGCTGCTGCTGCCGTGGTTGAACGTCGCGCGCTCCGGAGTAGTTGCCGGCTGATGAAGATTCGGACTTAGCCGGACAGCGGGGTGAGTGGGTGGGTGAGTGAGTGAGTGGGTGGGTGAGTGAGTGGGTGGTTGGGGGGTGGGTGGGTGAGTGGGTGGGTGAGTGGGTGGGTGGGTGAGTGGGTGGGTGGGTGGGTGAGTGGGTGGGTGGGTGAGTGGGTGGGTGGTGAGTGGGTGGGTGGTGAGTGGGTGGGTGGGTGAGTGGGTGGGTGAGTGGGTGGGTGAGTGGGTGGGTGGTTGAGTGAGTGGTTGAGTGGTTGAGTGGGTAAGTGGGTGGGTGAGTGGGTGGGTGAGTGGGTGAGTGGGTGAGTGGGTGAGTGAGTGGGTGAGTGAGTGGGTGAGTGAGTGGGTGAGTGGGTGAGTGGGTGAGTGGGTGAGTGAGTGGGTGAGTGAGTGGGTGAGTGAGTGGGTGGGTGGGTGAGTGAGTGAGTGGGTGGGTGAGTGGGTGGGTGAATGAGTGGGTGAATGAGTGAGTGGGTGAGTGGGTGGGTGAGTGAGTGATTGGGTGAGTGGTTGAGTGAGTGGATGAGTGGGTGAGTGGTTGGGTGAGTGGGTCAGTCAGTGAGTGGGTGGGTGAGTGGGTGGGTGAGTGGGTGGGTGAGTGGGTGAGCGGGCGGGTGAGTGGGTGAGCGGGCGGGTGAGTGGGTGGGTGAGTGGGTCAGTGAGTGGGTCAGTGAGTGGGTGGGTGGGTCAGTGAGTGGGTGGGTGAATGGATGAGTGAGTGAGTGGGTGAATGAATGAGTGGGTGAGTGGGTGAATGAGTGGGTGAGTGGGTGGGTGAGTGTTCCCCGTGGGAGGTGAAGAGATGAAGAGGTGAGACGCAGTGGGCGTTCGGAGAAGAGGGGGGGGGGGAGAGACACGTTGAGACGTGGCGGCCTAGGGGATCGAATTCGAACTTAGCTGGACAGAGGAGGGAGTGCGAGCGAGAGAGAGAGAGAAGAGAGGGGGTGGAAGTTAAAGGAGTTGGAGCTGAAGAAGAGAGTTGGTGGGGAGCGCGAAAGGAGCTGGGGAGGGAGAGGCAGGGTGGGAGATGCTGCCCGGAGTTCAGCGCTGAAGCAGGAGCGAGGATGTGGAGCTCCAAACAACAACAACAGCCCGGAGTGGACGGCTTCTTAGGTAAACAAACTCAACCTGACCCTGACCCCGTGTGCCTGTCACTAATCATCGAACGATTTACCCCTTACCCCCATCGATTCCATTCATTGTCGCTTCTGGGTGGTGAGTCGATTCAATTGATTATTGTTATTCTCATATAACTAAATCGGCTGGAGCCTCCCGTAAACCACGTGACGTCTGTGTGGCCACCCCCACTCTGAGTCTCCTCCCCTATCCCCGCCCCCTCTGAGAACAGACGCCGCTCCTCCTCCTCACCTCTTCTCACCTCTCCTCAACCCGTTTGCTACCGTCTCTCCGCTCCCTTCTTCATCCTTGCCCTCTCATTCCTCGCTCTCCCTCTTCTCCCCATCCCCTCTCCCCTTCCGTTCTCTCTTCCCATCCGTGACTCTCCGTCACTCTGCTCCTGATAACTTTAATCTACACTGTCTTATGGTTGTTATTGTTTGACTTGCATACCGCTGGGATTTTTGCACACAGCGTTGAAATGCGGTGGTTTTTTTTTCGGAAGATTTTGCTGGTTTTTTCCTGGATTTTTCTGTTGCGTGCAGTCACTTTAAGATGTTTTCTTGTTCATGTTTTTGTTTTGTTGCGGTTGCACCCGAGTCAAGAGTCGAATGGCTCACAGGGTTATCTCCATATATAAAAGGCAAAGTTGTGAATATGTGTTGTCTGTTCAAAATGTTTAGCGTACTTCCCGAAATGCAACAAACTTGAAATTTGCCATGTGGGTACTTTCCAGACTGTACACCATGCAAACTATATTAAAATACACTTGTTTTTTTTTGGGGGGGGGGGGGGGAGCTCAATAACGCATATATTTTTTGCACGGCAAGTGAGCTGTGACGTCAAATCTGTCACGTGACCCGCGCACGTGGAAACGTAACGCATTGTAGTGTAGCGGTTAGCGCTACGCTGCGCTACGAACCCGGCGACCCGAGTTCGATTCCCGCTCACGGCCACCACCGGTGACAATTATTTCAATCGCTCCTGGGCCTCCCCTAGGTCGACTCAGCCTCAAACGAGTAACTGCTGTGGTGTGTGTGTGTGAACATCGCCACTGGGGAGACAAAGGCGGCCGCGCGTGGTGGATCCAAGTCCCGGGCGAAGCCGGGTGGTAGTACAGCTAGTACCTAATAAATGAAACTGAAACCTGTCGCCATCCCGCGTTGTGGTCACGGCTACAGCAGTTGCCAGTCACGAGCTATTTATCCTCGTTTGTATCGCGACCCAGGATTTTGTTGCCTCTCGATGGTATAGCTATTTATTTCGCGAGCAGTAGCAGTATTCATACTAAAGGTGTGTGGGTGAGATCGCGCAAATGTAAATGCGTGGCGTTAAACCGCCACCACCACCCGACACAGGCAGCCGGTGAGGTCTGTCACGTGAACAAAACGTGCCAATCGGCGACTAACTTGGGTGTGACGGCTCAGTGACGAAGCCACCGCGTTGACAACCGCGTGCTGTGACTCGTGATGACGACGTCACAAACCTTACTAATCGGCCGTGTCGGGTGGTTGGCGGGTGAACGACACATTTATAGTTTACGCGCTCTAACCACCCCTCCCCCCCCCCAACTTTATTATCATGATTATGATCAAGAAGTTATCCCGCGCGATGCAGAGGGGGCGACAATGCGGATTTAAGACGTTGCGTGGTGGCGCTTTTCTTAAAGCACGTGAGCCGAATGTCTCTTCAGCGGCGAGGATGTGCCACGTTAACCCTGGAACCCCATGCCCGATTCGGATGGATACAGCGATCCCCGCGTTTTACGTCTCTCCCCCTCCAACCCCCCACCCCCCCCTCTTCCCCACACTTTCACGTCGTTTCGCAACTACGTCGTCACTTTGACGAGACAATAAGAATGGGCTGTTCAGCCTTTCCTGGCAGTGAAACAGGAGACGCTCAAACACCAAAATGAGAGACCTTTTTGCAAAGCACAAAGTCTGCATTCACCGCACGCACGTGCGGCGGAGCACGTGCGGTTTGCGTGTGTGTTGCCACGCGCGTGGCGACACACACGCAAACCGCACGTGCTCTGTTGGTATAACACTGATGTATACTACAAAGTGCAGTGGTTACGTTGTCCCGCTTTGACGACGTCGTTTCGCAACGACGTCGTCACTTTATTACGAACACGTGCGGTTGCCGTTGCCGTCGCTCCGATATGCCCACGTGACGCCTTTTAGCATTGAAATAGCTGAGTGATTAGCTAAATTCTATGCTAATTCCTTTGTCAAGGCGCTCTGTTTCTTCTCACATAGCTTAAAGGTCGCGGTCTGAGCTTGGCTGTGTTCGCTCCAGCGCTGTCCTCCAGACAGTCTCGTCCCTTCACCTGATGAAGGCCACTTGTGTTGTGGCCGAAACGTCGTGAGAATTTTATTGTGTTATTTTATTTTATCAATTAATTATTTTATTCTCATTCTACGTGACTTTACCGAAAGAACCAAAGAAGATGAATCCTTGCAGTCACGAAAGCTTTAAATCCAAATGTAAGATGTATATCTTAGCTCTTTCGGTAAAGTCACGTTGAAGGGAAACAATGAAATAATAAAATAGACATAAATCAATAAAAAAATTCTCACGACGTTTCGACCATAACGCAAACGGTCGAAACGTCGTGAGAATTTTTATTGTTTTAAATATATTTTATGATTTTATTGTTTCCCCTTAAACGTGACTTTACCGAAAGAGCTAAGAATATGAATTACTGCAGTCACGAAAGCTTTAAATCAAAATGTAAGATGTATTTAATCCCACAACCGTGTTACACTGTGTAGATATTTATAACACGTAGGCTTTCGCTACCAATATCATCCATAATGGGTTTTTTTACATATTGTGGATTAGCTCTCCAACACAACGGTGTTGCTGTATTCTTAACGAATTTGCATGTTCTGTTCACGTGACAAACCTTACTAACGGGCTGTGTCGGGAGGTGGCGGGTTTAACGACGCATTTATATTAAGGTAATCACCCCCCCCCCCCCCCCCACATTATGGATGTATATATTTTTAGTTTTAATCCCAAAAGGAAATGAACCCGACACGATCAAAGGCCCCCCGAGGATCACGTGACCGCTCGTGCAAACTCTAGGCAGCAGAGTGGCCACGCGACTCGTTACTTCTACAAAGTTGTTACTACTACAAAGTTGTTAGTACTACAGTTGTTACTACTACAAAGTTGTTACTTCTACAAAGTTGTTACTACTACAAAGTTGTTAGTACTACAGTTGTTACTACTACAAAGTTGTTACTTCTACAAAGTTGTTACTACTACAAAGTTGTTACTACTACAAAGTTGTTACTACTACAAAGTTGTTAGTACTAAAGTTGTTACTACTACAAAGTTGTCACTACTACAAAGTTGTCGCTACTACAGTTGTTACTACTACAACGTTGTTACTACTACAAAGTTGTTAGTACTACAGTTGTTACTACTACAAAGTTGTTACTACTACAAAGTTGTTACTACTACAGTTGTTACTACTACAAAGTTGTCACTACTACAAAGTTGTCACTACTACAGTTGTCACTACTACAGTTGTTACTACTACAAAGGTGTTACAACTACAAAGTTGTTCCAACTACAAAGTTGTCACTACTACAAAGTTGTCACTACTACAAAGTTGTTACTACTACAAAGTTGTCACTACTACAAAGTTGTTACTTCTACAAAGTTGTTACTATTACAAAGTTGTTACTACTACAAAGTTGTCATTACTACAAAGTTGTTACTACTACAAAGTTGTTACTATTACAAAGTTGTTACTACTACAAAGTTGTTACTACTACAAAGTTGTTACTACTACAGTTGTTACTACTACAAAGTTGTTACTACTACAAAGTTGTCACTACTACAAAGTTGTCACTACTACAGTTGTGACTACTACAGTTGTTACTACTACAAAGGTGTTACAACTACAAAGTTGTTCCAACTACAAAGTTGTCACTACTACAAAGTTGTCACTACTACAAAGTTGTTACTACTACAAAGTTGTCACTACTACAAAGTTGTTACTTCTACAAAGTTGTTACTATTACAAAGTTGTTACTACTACAAAGTTGTCATTACTACAAAGTTGTCACTACTACAAAGTTGTTACTACTACAAAGTTGTTACTACTACAAAGTTGTCACTACTACAAAGTTGTCACTACCACAAAGTTGTCATTACTACAAAGTTGTTACTACTACAAAGTTGTTACTATTACAAAGTTGTTACTACTACTAAGTTGTTACTACTACAAAGTTGTTACTATACAAAGTTGTCACTACTACAAAGTTGTTACTATTACAAAGTTGTCACTACTACAAAGTTGTTACTACTACAAAGTTGTTACTATTACAAAGTTGTTACTACTACAAAGTTGTTACTACTACAAAGTTGTTACTACTACAAAGTTGTTACTACTACAAAGTTGTTACAACTACAAAGTTGTCACTACTACAAAGTTGTCACTACTACAGTTGTCACTACTACAAAGTTGTTACTACTACAAAGTTGTCACTACTACAAAGTTGTCACTATTACAAAGTTGTTACTACTACAAAGTTGTCACTACTACAGTTGTCACTACTACAGTTACTACTACAAAGTTGTTACAACTACAAAGTTGTCACTACTACAAAGTTGTTACTACTACAAAGTTGTCACTACTACAAAGTTGTTACTTCTACAAAGTTGTTACTATTACAAAGTTGTTACTACTACAAAGTTGTTACTACTATAAAGTTGTCACTACTACAAAGTTGTTACTACAAAGTTGTCACTACTACGGTTAGTACTACAGTTGTTACTACTACAGAGTTGTTACTACTACAAAGTTGTCACTACTACAAAGTTGTCACTACTACAAAGTTGTTACTACTACAAAGTTGTCACTACTACAAAGTTGTTACTTCTACAAAGTTGTTACTATTACAAAGTTGTTACTACTACAAAGTTGTTACTACTACAAAGTTGTTACTACTACAAAGTTGTTACAACTACAAAGTTGTCAC